TAATATAATTATATTATATTTTGGAAATATAAATATATTTTATAAAATATAATATATAATTATATAAAATTATATAATCTATCTAAAATTATATAATATATAATTAATAGTTTATACGTATATCATATATTATAATAAATAATATTCTATAANATTATAATAAATAGAATCTCAAATATAATCTATAAACTTTTTAATATAACCTATACTTTTTTAATATAACCTATAAAATTTTTGCAGATATTATATAATTTTCCAGTCAAAATATATTCAATTAAATTTTATAATTAAATATATTTAATTAAATTTTAAATTTATTTTTTGAAATTTCTCGGATTTTCTTTATTTCTTTTTACTTCACACAATTTAAATATTTTCTTAACACATAGAAATTTAATAACAAAACTCTAACCTATTCGCGAATAGATCTTTTCGTAAATTTTTAATCTTTTTCAATTTTGATTAAATTTTTGTAAAACACAAATTTAAAATACACTATGATAAACAAAAATATATAATAAAAATATATATGTATACTTTTTGTTATAAATTATAAAAGAAATATTACATAATAGTAAAAAAAGAATATATCACTTCTATAATTCAGCGAAATATTCGTAATACCGAGAAACATCGGTTAAACAGTACGCTCTATATTACCTACGGGGAAAAAGATACGATGGACGGTTATCGCGGCCAAATTGAAAACTGTGACGTTCCTCTGCATTCGGTACAATTTTTTCCATGAAGTTAATGTTAATCAGTCGCGGACGTGACGTGGATGGAGGGTGCTCGACTGGATTTCATGTCGGCCACTGCCAGGCTTGTACAGCCTCTATGCCATAAACGTGCTGCCATAAGTACTTTGGCAATATACATCCCAGCATCAGGACTCATCCATTACAACAGGCTAGCGCGTGATCGTGCAACCACTCATGGAGCACCGGCGCGCAACGCAGAAATGATTTTGTACCGTTCATTTCGGAACGGTAATCCAATAGCAGCGAAGGTTTTCCATATTTTCGCCCGATTCTTTTTCCGAAACGGTACCGTGAAAAATGACGTTTTATTGCCGCTGTGAAACATCGACTGGAGTGCTTTTGCACGAGTGGACACCGAATTTTCGATGGTCCATGACATGGTCCTCGAGGACCCGGATTGGCTGTTACCATTGTTGCTTGTTTTCAAAAGTTTATTCGTTCATTGATTGACAAATTTTTTGATTAAATAGGATAATAGAGAACAAACCAATTTCCATATTATCTCACTGCTTATTTTTGAAGAAAACATTCTTGAATAAAAATTCTTTTTTTAAAAATTTAACAGTAACACGTACACACAATAATATCGTAAATAACATAAACATATTGTAACTCTTAAGATGTAAAAAAATATATCATTGAAATAAATAATAGAAATTTTAAAAGACATTAATAAACATTAATAAAATTTTATAACTTAAAAAAATAATTTCTTATCGCGATCTAAATACTTCAATTTTTTCAAATTTTTTAAAGTTAAATCTAAATGGAAAAAAATAATGATAAAAAAATATTAAATATATTCTTCCATAATTATAAAATAAAATTCAACAATAAAAATTATCAAAAAGATTGAAAATTGAAAAACATTTCGTTTATATTCCAGGCTTGCTTTCTAATATTGTTGATTATAGTAATCACATTGATAATTATATCGATGATGTATCAAACTTCATAATAATCTAAGTATTTACAATTATATTCTCGTACAATATTGAGTACTCAATACTTGCATTGAATTTTATGTGTTGAGTTTTTTCTTATTATCTACTCATTCGTCGATGTCCAACACAGTAAAAGGATGATGATATAGATATCCTATAGAAGAGGATCTTTGTTCGTAGTGATTCCACAAGCAACAAGAGATCGTTGCACAATGAGACCCGCATAAGAGGCATTAGAATATATACGCATCCCTATATACAAACAGTTTTCACTGCGATATACCTATATAAACTCAGAATTAAATTCTTTATCCCTTATCCATTACATATATTTCAATAATTTATTCAATAAAAAAATAATAAAATCGTAACTTAACATGTTTGTCAGCAGATACGTCACGAGATTTTTATTCCAATGCTAAACGTCATATATACTTGACAGCAATATTTTTTCTTCTTATAGTCACATGATAAAATAAAATTTGCTTAAATGAATATATTGATGCGCTTGACCTAAAAAAAATTAAATTTCAAATATTTGTCAATATTCATAATAAAAAAATATATTGATAAGTACGACGAAAACAAAAGTACGATCTATTTATATCAAACCTTTTACTTCGATTTACTATACGTAAGTAAACGTATTAAATATAAATATAAAAAATAATATAAAAAAAAAATTAATTCAATTAGTTTACTACATTCCAATTACTCACGAATTTACGTTTAATATATTATATAATGACATTTAAATTATGACTAGCAAATCTTCGCTGGGTGTTATATGAAGAACATTAAAAGATATGTCATTAAAAGGCGGCTATTAACATCACAAAACGCTGTCAATTGACCGTTCACAAAACAATTCTCTTTATGGATGCCCTCTCCATCGTTCCCTTACCGTTGACGGTGCTCTACGATTCAAAAATCGCGTGCGTTCTTTCACGCACGCTTATTCGTGGGGCCCTCGAGCAAAATGCACACGCGCGTTACACATCTCGTCTAACCGCGGCTTCTCCCATTCATTCGCGTTATGTATAGTGTACAGTGCCATGTAAGTATAATAAATAAGAACGCTTGAGAATCCATTGTGCCAATTGTTTTCGATAGTCTCATCGAAAACGACAAGGTCTATTTGTGGGATGTACACTATAGACCACGCACACGTCTATTGACAAGTACTTATATACATCTGTATGTGCATGTACATTCCTATTTCTCTTCTTTTCTAACATTCTCTTTCTTTGGATTTCTACTCTTCTACTTTTATATGGTTCGATTTTTTTCTTAATCTTCTTTCTTATTCCGCAAAGTCTCTTATTCTTTTATACCTGAAAAAAAAAAAAACAAGAACTCAGCAGGATCCCTAAAGGCAACCACGAAAGCTGGATATTCGGTCATAGTAATACGACGTGTACGTGCTCACTGACCGTGCATGAGTGTGTACTTGCACCCTTTTCTTGGTTAAGACGGTATTTCGAAACGTTCCGCGAGCTTCCAGTCCATCAAGCAACCGATCCTGCCGCCATGTACCTTCGTATAATGCTTTCCTGAAAGTTGATCCTTCTCATAGATCCCTTTTCGTAGATCGGATTAATGTAACGATCAACTAAAAATAGAGAATGTTCAGAGACTTGAAAATCTGACTTTGTATTACATGAAATTCAATTGACAATAAAAAAAAAGTATTAAAATTAAATTAATTATTATTTATAATTTTTCTTCGTTGGTTTATACATATTTTTCAAAATCATTATCAAATTTAATATAAAATAATATAAGAGAAGAGGAATAATTAAGACAAAATTTAATAAAACTCAACAAATAAAAGAGTATTAAAAGTACTTACTAGAAAATATCAAAAAAATCAATGAGAACCATGGACCTCGAATAGAAGTAATATTAACATAAGATGACGATAAAGAACAAGCAAGCAAGGGCGAAAGAAAGTCTATATATAATTTAACGACGTAAACCAAGGGAGGAGTGTCATTTTTTTCTTGTGCAGTATGGCTGTAGCACGATATGGGTGGATTCGTTTTCACTGAAGCTTCTGTGTGCATCCCACTTACCCCACCATTTTCGCGCATTAGCTCATGATAGCTACGTAGGAAAATGTAAGGCATATACTATATAGGCAACCTTGGGTACCTACTCGTGTCACCCATTTCAGGCATTACGATCCCATTTCTGTGGCTATTATCCGGACTCAGATCTTAAATGCGTCTGCTGGATATTGCCTCTTCGGCCGTACCGATAAAAATTTCCATGCAAATTATCGCGAGTTACGCCCACTATCTTTTCTCTGTCTTCATCTGTCTTTCTCTCTCTCTTTCTTTCTTTTCTTTCTTTGATTTGCTGTTTTAACTATCTTCTTTTTCTTCAATCGTTTTTATTTGATTCTAATTTGATATTGAAAAGGATATCAAATGTTTGAAAGAAAACATGTAAAGTTGCAAATATCTATCTATATTTTTTTATTTGCGCATTAGATATACATTTCTAAATTTTCTAGTAATTTATTTTTCTTTGCAATTGCTAGGAACATTTGAAATATTGCTAAAGTTAATCATTATTACCAACCTAATAAATGTTAACCTATAAAACTTTATGTTTCTTTCTGTTTACATATTAATACATAATTTGTATAAAATAATAATATATAAATAAAAAAACATAAAAATTGAGTGTAATTAAGAAATTATTATATATTACAGTATATTTAAGAAATTAATTTACAAGAAAAGAAATTTAATTCAGAACAAAGAATAGATAGAAAAGCCATGACTTTTCAATTAACCAAACAATACTTGTTAGCCAAGATTATTATGATAATCCGATGTATACTACACTTTACATTCGCCACTCTCTTATTCATTGGATACAACACAGAGAATACAACATGCAGAACCAGTAATCGGCCAATCAGTTAAGTCGAGCATTGTTTCGAACAAACGCGCGAGAGCACCAGAGGGTTGTCCCTAATCCTTGCGGCCTATCGAAAATCCATGATCGAAATATATCTACTCTGTCAAACGCATGCGTACCTAGATCGGGCTACCCTTTCGTCCGACAAGGATTTTTACGGCTTTCAATCCTGTCAGAATGAAGGACGTGTCGCCTCTGGATTTGCCATCGAAATCTTTGTTATGTACTTTGCCATAAATCAGGATGCGCTTCAATCGATGGGTTATGATCCGATCACGTGGAATATATTAAATCAACGGTGGACGGTATTCTCTTGTTTTTTTTTTTTTTCATTTTATATTTTTATTCAAATTACTAAAATCTACTATTTTCTTTCGTAAAATATCATTGATTGATTAATCTCTTTATAATTAATTTCTAATTTAGAATTAATTAAAAATTTAATTGATTCACTATGAATGAAAATCATTCCTCATATAATTGTTTTAGTGAAAGAAAAGTATTTATATTATTCCTTAATAAAGTAAGTATTAATAGTAGTAAGTAAAATAATAATTGCAAAAAGAATATTAAAAACTAAATCGAAAGAATATTAATAATGAATAAATCTAACCTTATATCTTCATAGAAATTATATTAAATTATATTATATAAAGGAAAGAACTTATATTATTTCTTAGAGAAATAAGTGTGATAATAGTCGTGAAGAAAAATCGGAAAAATATTAATAATGTATAGACTTAACCTTACATCTTTGCTCTCATGGTTGAGTTTTCACCGTGGTTTCGAACCCTTTGTTCTAGTATGGGTCACGTGCCGTCGTTGATGGGAGAACTATCGTCCATGGTCGGTAACGTGGGATTACTGTGGCCAATAATTTTCCGGGGTCGAATTTGTTTGATATACTATATCCATTGTATGATCCATAGAAAGAGGCTTCCCACTCTCTATTGTGGCCACGACGGTTGAGGGGTTGAGCAAAACAGAGACAAGAAGAAGATAGAAAAGGGAGTAAAAGAGAGACGGTCGAACGACAGAAACGCAAAAGGGTGGTTTTGCCCAGACTCACAAGTGGCAGCTTTTAATCTCTTCCAGGGATATCTCAACTCAAGTCTGAATTGTACCTCGTTACCAACGGTTTAATTGCTTGTTAATGGATAATCGAAGTATTTTACGAATTGGCTCCGGGAATACTAACCATCGACTTCATGATGAAACATTTAATTTTGCTAGAATTTTGTAACTTCGATTGAATAAATCGTTTTATCAAATAATTAATTAACTTAATAATTACTATATCTCTTTTTAAGGGAAAATAATCATGTTATATTTTCTTTTTCAGAATTAATTGATAACAAATCATATCCATTGAAAATATCAACCTAATGGAAGATATAAAACTACAGACACAAAAGTAAATATTTAATAGTCTGCTCTAAATAATAGAAGAGACACAAGGTGGGAGGTTACGGTGCTAATTGACCGATCAATCTTCATTAGAAAACGGCTTAATTACAGTACAAGCTCTCTCTCTCAGAAACTCCTCTCCGTCGTAGCCATCGTTTCCTTCACCTCCTTTCTTCCGGTGCCCTGGAAAGTTTAATAATTCCGAAACCTTGGTGAGATATAAATCACAGAGGTACCTCTCTCGATGCCGTCCTCCTTTTCCCTCTGCCTTTCTCTCCGCTATGGCCATAATTCGAAAAACTTTCGAGGGAACAAAAGTGAGGACTTTTGTTCCAAGTTTTAGTCCTTCATCTCACTCCTCGTTCGTGAGGGCGCTGTGTTTGCGGAGCGACGCCCCGACAGTGTTTTGTTCGCTTTGTCTCTTTTTCCTGTTAGGTATACAATGCCGTAACTGCCTGGACCATCTCTTCGCGTACCTCCTTCGCGTCCAACCACGAAAGATTCCAAGTTTCTCTCCTTTCCTCCTTTTACCATCTCGCTCTTCTTTGATTCTTGATCTTCCTTTTTCTATCTCATTCTTTCTTCACTTTATTATTTCTCTTCCTCCGTCACCAGGAGAAGACGAGATAAAGTACGTATACGCAAAACATCGAGGGTCTCGCGGCGTTTTGTTGGGTAAAAGAAGGATAGGAAGAGAACAAAATGGAACGGAGTACCGCCCACGCATACAGAAGAAAGACCGGTGAACAAGTTCATTCCGATTCTTCTATACCTTCTCTACCTCTTAGTGGGACCATTAAATCTTCGTTGAACAGATCGGTTAACCATTCGATCCTTACGTAATGATTAATAGTACATAAATACAATATATTGGTTTCTTTTCTAATTTATCAAGTTTAATTGATATGATATTGCAAATGAATCCTATTGATCAATTAATTTTGAAAGCTGTATATGTATTTTTATTAATACACTTCCATATCAAATGTTATTCAATGAGTATAATAAAATATTTCATAACGTAATTGAGATGGAGATTAATCGAAATATTAGGTACCAATCTGACTAATATTGAAAATAACTTCAAATGGGATTATATGCGTTTCTATTGACTTCAAACGAAATTTTCGGATAGGAATAGCGACCAACGTTAAATTAGAGACTCGAAAGCGATCCGACCTAATTAATTTATTCGCATGTGGAGAACGCATCGTTATTGATTGATTAGCAGACGCGGCCTAAACCGCGGAATAATTTTCATTTCACATATAGGGGGAAATACTCAGACACGACATGTTCGTTTTTACCGACCGAACCCGACGCGGACGAATCTTTTTTCGTTTTTCGGCGCGCGAAACCGTGGCGCAAAGGAAGAAGAAGGGGAGAGACGTAGTAGAGTATGATGACAGCGGAAAGACACGACCACCATAGAGAGAATGTCGATCTCGTTTTTGCGAACGGTTGGAAGACACGCGGAATGGACGTTTGTCGATATCGTTTACACGAACGACACGTACGTATAAGTTACGATGATGTGAGGCAGATCCATTAGACTATGCAATTGTCCACGTATTGCATTGTCAGCCACCATAGAGATTTCTATTCAGAAATCGCGGAAGTCCCCGGATGCATTGACGAGAGGTAGAGGATGATCGAGGACCGCTCTTGTTGCGAGAAGGAAAGAGACACGAGAGAGACGGAATATCATGATCGACCAGGATACTGGTTACTCGTATTTCCCTTTTTTCTCCTAATTGTCATGCCTGATATTCGTTTCTACAGAAATCAAGAATCTTTTCTACTGTGCATATATTAGAAATTGTCAGAAATTTTATTTTAATTGACATTACGTACGTATATATAAATAAATTTATATAATTAAAACGTTTTAATTTCAAATAGATAACATTCATGTATCATTAGTAACATAACCTAAAATTATCGACACGATTAATTTATTATATATATCATATATTCTTATTTAGATTACTATAAAACTAATTCGATTTCTTAGAAAAACCATCTCTTTCATTCATCAATTTTTCTACATTGATGAAATCGTAACAAGATTCTTCGAATAATCGAACAAAAGCTTTCGGTCCCCTAATTAACCCAGTTCAAAGATCCCGTGTCGGTGAAATGAATCTTTGTTACGCCCCGATTCGCTTCTGTGGAAACACACGCACGCCGCTTGATCGAGGGTGAACACGGGTTTGAATAAAAAGCTTTTTACATGACCAGGAGAAATAAAAGAGCGCGCGTGAGAGGAAAGGAAGAAAAATCTCGGATTTCCCGTTCTGCTACGCGCCCTTGTCTTTTGCCCTCTCGAGTTTCCTGGATCGTTCTTACCACGCCCAGCAATTTGCCTTGTGCTACAACTTTGCGATCGATTATTCCTCGATTATGGTGTAACGAGATATCCAATCGTAATATCTACGTGGTACACACGGCCATTATTCGATTGGGAAACCAATATTTTCTTACGTTTTGTTAATATCCCGATTTCCATGTACCTGTGGGCCTATCGTGAAACAATTATATCCTCCCTACATCATTTCAAGTTACACAATGTACGAGTATTGTATGATTACAACCAATGATTGACAAGGAAAGGATACGAAGGATTGAAACGCACAAAAGCTTAAGTAAACTTTCCATGGTTTCAAAAATAAATAAGTATTCAAAGAATACTTATTTTTAAATCAATTTGTATTCAAATATGATTTATTTTCAGGGAGAATTTAAAAAAATAGATTTGATTGAGATATTTTAAAAAAATTTGGAGGTTATGTCACGTGATTTTTATGTATGATTTATTGTTATATGATACTTTTTATGAAATGATAATTATTTAAAAATAATCTGCTCATTCTGATCGATTTTGAAATATTATAGAGAACAAAATTTTAAATAATTTTTCCTCATACATATAATCGCCATTTAAATTTAGTTTTCGAGATATATACAAAATATTTTTGCTGTAAGTATATTAGATTTTATCTATATTCATATGCATTAATGATATCGCTTTTCTATATTATATAAACTATTTTTATATATCGATTGGCACACAATATTTAATGAATGAATTAATATATTTTATATATTATATAGATAAAAAAAAATTATTCATATAATGTTTATCTTGTCAATATATAAAATCATAATATTAAGATAAAATATTCGTGGACTGTTATTTAAACTGTATAAGAAATAGAATGTTTGTAAAAAATTAAATGATTAATATATTATAAAAATCAGACATAATTGTTTTGAGAAGAATAGGGTGTATTTTATTAATCACAGCGGTTGTCATCTCGTGTCCTTTCAAACAATAACGAGAGGACAATGACTAGTTTGAAATTCGCGAACAAAGCGGGTGTAGACATATTCAAATGGCACTTATAATGGTACTTATAAAAGGAACCATGCTTAAAACCGTACCTGTATCCCCTACAAATATACCTGGTATAAACGGTGGGTACGATTGCAAAATCCTTTCACCAATTGGATTCATTGTATGGTTGATCCAGTACAACGCGTCTATTCTGTTCGATAACCACAAATCGTGCAAAGCCACGCTTCGGGCACTACTTTCTATTATCCGTTACCACTTTCTTTCTTTCTTTTTTTTTTTTTTATTCTTTTCTCATATAGATTAAATGCTAATTCGATAAGAAATTTTTTATTTTCTTTATTCTTAAAATTGGATAAGATATCTGCCTATTTATAAAAATATTATTCTTTTCTTAAAACATTTATACTATTTTATTTATTTATTAAAATTATCTTAAAAATCAAATACAATTATTTGCATCGCAATAATTTCTAATTTTAATTAATCGGTCTAAGTTTCTAGATTTACATTTGCTTATCATCATATTCATCTTAATTTTAGTAATTAATTAATTTTCAATAATTAATTCCCAAAGAAAAGTTTATCGAAAAGTTTCATATTCAATATTAAGTTAAACTAACAGATTTATCTTTTATTTACAGTTCTCTATCCGGGATCCATGAATTTTCTATCTAAATGGAACATTTATACGAAGCATCGGTGGTTTTATTTAAATACCCGAGAAGAATTCAGTGGCCAAAAAATCGGCGAACCGTAAAGAAAGATTCACGGATAAAAAGGGGATCCGTTTGATCGCGGACCAGCGCTTGAAGCGTGGTGAAAAACCAGTCCCGACCGTATCACTCCGTTTCTTTGGTCAGGATCGGGCCAAACAATTAAACTCGAATGAGAAAATCTCTTTTGATGACGATGCACCGCGATGAACGCACGACGGACATATTAGTATAATAAGCGACGATCTGTGTACGCATATATAGATTATGGCAACAAAGAGGACGAATGAAAGAAACGACAGAGATAGCAGTAGCAATGATGAAAAGAATTAGGTAATGGGAAGGTGGGGAAATGCACAATTTTAATGTGTACCCAGGTGGTAGTGAACAGAACCATGCAACTCCACGGTAAATTATTTCATATCTCCTGGCCTATTGCATATCTTTATGATCTAAAAACTTCAAACTGAGCGATTAATCTGAAAAGAATTTTCTAGATTATTTCTTGTGATCATCCCGATAGGTATTTGATTGCTTTTTATAATAGATAGATATAATAGATATAAGCGATAGATGAAGTTAAATATGAATTTTTTATATTTAAATTTTATTCCATTATAATTTAGCGTTCGTTTGAATATTTGAATTATATTAAACCAATGTTTTTATTTTAATCAAATGAACGTTATTTTATTTTTATGTTCTTTCAAAATTACTTAATTACTTGATTAT